TCACTGTGTAGAGCTGGTAAATCCGGTTAGAATGAGCGTACAGTGACAACACTGCGAGAAGATGGAGAGAGGATAGAGGGAAATAATCCACACATTTGTGGATATTCGTTACCATTTGTCGACCTCATAATCATCTTCCGAGCCAGAGTTCTGGAATTTGTCCGATAGCCTCCGCCGCTGCTTAACCAGGTTAATATCTTCCTAGTTAAACAAATGTGGTTCGACTTGTTCGAATTTCCGACACTTGAATGATCTAAATTGGTTAACAATGCAATTTTTCTGCCTCATAATCGAGCAGCAATCTTCAGCAGATGTAGATTGAAGTAGAAACCAATCCACTTGGCAGATGAGTTGAGTCAGGCAGTCGAAATCCTTTTTCCTAACGTAGTCATCTGGCTGCAGTGTGTAATATTGCTGTCGCCGCCGATGCATGATGGCCGTAATTACTAATTGGTCGCTTGCTGCAAGAGGCAAATATTCGTGGCGGTTTGTTGACATCAAGCTCATGCAGGACAGCGTTCAGCGCTCTGTTTTGCGCTATCAGCGGGCAGATAAGTCGTGCTGTCCCGTTTTCAAATAGCATGTCAGTGAAATTCACTTTGGCCTCACAAGTACCGGTGAGAAGTTCAAATTCAGGCAAGCGTATTTGATGACCATTTATATCGCCTATGAGTAGAAAGTGACGGTGATGAATGTGATCAGGTGCTGGGACCGCCGATGAAAACAACAGCTTAGGGGGCTGAGTTAGAATGCACCCGTGAGCTGATTTCCGCGCCTGAGAGTGCTCGAGCATCACAACCGCTTACTTCGCTTCGGTGCGCGCTCACGAGTCTGCCGCACAAATTCCGGATGTAGAGCAAGACGTCACCGTGAGTATTTAATCGCCTATCCCATCAAGAACATGTGTAGCATGTAAGTTCAACCTTCAGGGTGAGTGCCCTTTATCGTTCAACCACGTCTCTGCGAGTCCCATTACATCTGGTCACTCGTAAGCAAAGAAATGGCATAACCCATAGCAAGTATTCATAAAGCTGCAAACGTTAGTAAAGGATACACGTATGCTGTAGTAAGATCTACCTGGCGTGTCAGAATAGTGAGCGACGGATTCCTTGTAATTTGTGTTCGTGTTTTAATCAATCGAAAACTTACAATGCGCAATTTTGTTTTGCGCTCATAAGTTCACCGCTTTCAATCGATGATTACACACTTCAAGCGCACCCGGTCAGCGGGAACAATACCCGGAGGAATAGGTAACCTATCGCTTTTCGCTCTACTTAGATGAGACAATGTTAACTTTGAACAGGCTCCGTCAGCGAAAATTCTCTCGTAGCTCGGTGTTACTCAACAGCTTTTTCGCCTAAGCGGAGAACTTGCTTCACTTTCACTACGTCCTCACCCACATCGAGAAGCCTACCAACAAAGCTGTGTAGAAAGAGTACGTCATGGTCACGGCCTGTCTGAGGAGTTCGATTGTTTTACTTAGGTGTGTTAAAATGCATCAGATTCAATGGCCGCTAGTCATTCAAGGATGTTCCTGCTGTATAACAGTCGACTACAGTTTTGCTTGACCTGTTTTGTTGCTGGTCAGTAGCAGCACGTTTCTCTTTATTCCGCGGCTTTATCGTTGAATTTTCCAAGGCTCCTCATGCATTGGATATTCTTCTGCGTCGTTAGGGCTAGCGGGGCGTACAGTCAGTGGACCGATAGCATCAGTTGGTGTCGTGTCCTCGGAAACATTAGGGTGGCAAGGCAATCAGTTGTCAGAGGGAATTGAATACATAGGAACGTTTGGGTTAAACCTTGGATGGACTCTAGTCCAGTTTGTCGGACTGAAAGTCTAGAACTGCCCACAGCTAAGCCTTTTGCTCGCGATGTGCACTGATAGACGTTATCGGTTTATTTGGCTGCATTAGACTACAATATTCGTTGCAAAATCTGAGATGGAATCAGGTGGAATGGAACGCAGAAAATGATAGAAATCGGTTGGTAATCCAGCACATGGAGAAGGAAATTTGGCAAAATAGTCAAAGCGAATTAGGAGGTTTGCTGTGTGCAACGATTTTCTTGCAGGAAACACAAGATGGTTTCTTCGGAATTTTGGAAAAATGTTTAGAAAATATATAAAATGGTGAAGTAGAAATTACATAACGGAACTACGAAATCTGTCGAAGATACCACACACCAAATGATCCGGTAATTAAAGGTTCTGAGACTTCCACAAAATAGTTCCAATATGACGATAGATGCATAAGTGAGTATCCTGACAATGCAAACACGGAACAAGCCGAGCCCGATTAATCTTAATGGCACGCGTTCTAAAACGCTGCGCAATGGTTGTGCTTCAAATGCCATATTGTAACTGTTCGGAACAGTACGCGGAACATG